AGAGGCTCATAATTAAAGCGTCCGTAATGTTCCAGTGACTCAACTTATATAACACATAGAATTGATTTCTTTTTTATTCGATCCAAGTCACATATAAACACCGTAAGAATTAAAATGAAATGATACCTACGGCAAACTTAAAGCTTTCGCAATTTGTCTCAGCCACATCGCATGGCTGAAAAGTATCAGATGAGTCTCTCGGCCGAGACAAAACGCTGCGTCATACCAGCTACCAGCCACAAAATTTCGTTAGTATCTGGTACACTTTTACGAGTCTCTTTCAATGGATTGTTACATTAGTATCTAGCGCACTTTTACGAGTCTCTTTCAATGGATTGTTACATTAAATTTTGCCTTCACTACTCAACCGGACACACAAGAGTTGATATCTGGGCGGGTTGGCCAGCCAAGCCACCGTTTATTTAATGCCAAATCGATATGCTAACAGAAGTCCTTCACAATTGAAGTAAACTAAATGCACCAAAGCCGGACACGAAAACCCCTAAAAACCAGCAGGTGGAAAAAACGGGGATCGTGTACCCCCGACCAAGAAAGCGGTACCACCCTTGGGGTTTTAGGGTATCCTATGAATGACATGCAAGGTAATATGCAAGTACCGCTCTAAATTTATACAAAAGACGAAAATGAAAAGCTACACACGGTGAAGGCTGACCGTAGAATGCCCTGCCCTACTAACGACTTCTACTTGCAAACCACGATCCCATAACTCTCTGCGTACCTCGCAGCCAGCCCCAGTCCTCCGATACGTGCCGGCAAAATATTAATATATGTTCATTAGGATTACCACAAATTACATATTTTGCCTTCACTACTCAACCGGACACACAAGAGTTGATATCTGGGCGGGTTGGCCAGCCAAGCCACCGTGGAGATAAAAAGAAAGGGCTTGAGCTAAAGTGACAGTGATTTAGAAACCTCTAAGGCAAGGGTCGCACTAACGCTTTTGGTGTTTACATGGGACATAAAATCTGTCATCGCATGCTTGCGGCAAGTGCGACCCTTTTGTCGCGACCAGACATAACTATGTCCGGAGGACCTGACGATAAAAAAAGCCGATGTCCTGCCTCGAAGCAGGTCATATCTTGTCTAATGGGCTTAAAATAGCAGTTTTTTGATTTTCTTCTGTCGCAACGTCAATCAAATCCGAAATAGCGGGAAAAGTTGGATTTTCGCAACTCTGCAAAGACACGTGTGCACAGCTACCTACAGCCGTTGGTTCAAAAATTTTAGTCACCGGTTTTCTTTACAACGTTTTATCAGGTCCCTATGGCGAATTTCAACCCATACCAATTTACAAATTTGCACTATTCACCTGATTTTTCTCAGCATGGGAATGGCTTGTTTTCACCCTTTGGCTCGTAGATATTTTCCCATTTTTTCGCATCCGTCGACATCGGTTTAAAGCAGCAAGAGCCAACATTTGTCGTTGGCGAGTGTTGTACAATGCGTACAAACCAATAGGGTTTTGTACATTGAACAAATTAAACAGAGAATGAAGAAATGTCGCTAATAAAACTAGCACCAGCCTCATGTCTACAAAATTATATTTGGTGCTCTTTTCGCGCGTGAAATATCAAGAGTTGACAGTCTGGTCTCATTTATCATTTATGTCGCACAAGTGCGACCTCCATGACTTCCTTAGTGTAAATGTCGCGACATATTTGTGGGAGAACTTATGATGCGACATAAAAAAAAATAAGGCCAGAGTGCGACCTCTGCCTAATCTTCTGGCTAAAGAGTCTTTAACATAAGACTTCTTGGCAGAGACTGAAGCCCAGCGACCGTGAAGTTGGAGATTTCTATCGGAAACACCGGAGTTGGCAGCCGAAGTAGCGCCGCCTGATCTGGCACAATGAGTACTAAACTTGGAAATGTCTGGTATGATCCCGTGAAATGATTTCTTGAAAGACTCTCTGTAGGTTGAATAACTAATAGGCTTATTGGCCGAGACTAGACGTTTACAATTACCAGAAGCAGATATAGGTCTAAAAAGATACTTATCTGAATCAAATGAAAATTTAAACTGAGAGGAACTCATATATCATTTTAACATGGCTACGGGACAAACACTAGAACCCGACTCTGCTATTACAACCGACTGCCCTTCCCTAAGCCGATCAGCTTTACTCTTTTCGATAAAAATGGAAATAAAGCTGTCGCCGAACCTAATATCTTTAGGACGGATGAGCGACAACTCAGAAAATCTGAGAAAACCTGAGAAGGTCAAAACAAACATAAGCAAGTTGTGCAGCTGCAAGAGATCATTTATATCAAACCTTTCTGCCTAAACTCTGAGGTGTTCCGGCTCTAAAGGCTCCTTCCGGTGCTTAACAGGCGAGGACACAAGGCGAACCGCGCTCTCTTTGACCGCAACTACGGTGGGGTGAGATGTTGGAGAGTTGACGCCAGCAAGTTCGTGAAGCCACTTGAACGCGTAGAAGGGACAATTTATAGAAGAAACTGAATTGGTTAAATACAGTAGATACTGCAGAAACAAGGCGCAATGGATGGGGTCTACAGGAAAGGCACCAATACCCAAGATGTCTGCAGCAAATGATCTCCATCTGTTGAAAACCCTGGTGTAGTTGATCGAAGTTCCGGATGCCTTGGAGGCTAACGCAGTGAATTTCAATTTCTCCATCAACGAGGCAACTTGACGTGAGACTGGTTGACACGAGGACCAGAAATCTGTATCGAAAATATCTAGAGAGGATACACCAGACGACATAAAAGAAAACGAGAGACAACAAGAACAGTGAAAACAGATAAACACACATAGATATAATTCTATGTATTTATAAATGAGTATAATAGACAAAGAGCATATGCGAGAATGAATGATAATAAC